ACCTAAGAAAGGACATCGGATTCCTCCACGCGCCGAGATAAGTCTCCGGAAAGTTGGCCGAAAAAATCGCCTGCGTTACAGTCCACAGTACCTCTTGGGAGGTGCTTGTGCTCCACGTGCCAGCCACCGCTGCACCACGCGCAGCCTCACTCGCCCGCGAGTACAGGCCTACCCGTCTTCCTCACGAGGCCTAAGGTTGGCCGATTTCTGGGCTCAACTTCTCGAGCTTCATTTAAGCTTGTTTCTCAACTATTTTCGATGTTTCAAAAAGCTAAAATGAAGCTTGACACGAGGAGAAGAGTTTTATACCAATTTGGGACTGAGTGGTGGTTGAAGTTGGCCAGAAAATAGTTGCAAATTGGTTGTCTTCGTAAAAAAACTGGGGAAGCTTTCCCCTTGAGTTTCCTACACCCAAAGGTTACCAAAACTTCTCAAAACTACTCTCGAACATACATCGAGGCACGATCTATAAGTTTTAGACGAGGTTTGAGGCTTACCTTCGTGCGGAAAAGCTCGGTGAACAATGACGGTGCAGAGGAAACGATAAGGGAGTATGAGGGGTTCCCTCCTTTGTTTTGGGTTCACAGCTAGGATGGTTGATGGTGGGGGTGCTGTCATTGTTGTTGTTGTGTGTTGTGTACCCTCGGGGAGGGCTGAGACAAAGAGAACAAAGAGATGAAAGAGAGATAAGCAAAGTGAGAGTTTAAAGAGAGAGGGAGAGAAATGACATATTAAGGGAAAGAATGGTCACACAGGAAAGAAAGGGAAACTGGGGGACAAAGGTGTAGAAGTGGGTCCCAGTGGCTCACAAATTAAGGCCACTAAAGACGAAACGTGAAATATCTTCCTAACGTGAAATTACCGAAGTACACTCGACGTTTCGAAATTCATAAAAACTTTGTTCTAGCTCTAAATTTGAATCCGCTAACGCCCAAATGTTCCTGGCAATGATTACAAAAAGAATAAATTAAGAAAATTAGTTATACACGTCATGACGAGATGGTCAACGAAAGTCAACGTTCATGCCACGAAGGCAATTTGGTAAATTTACACATTTAATAATACAAATACATAAAAATTAAGGACAGGGACTCACAGGGGTTATGCATGGTTTTTCAGGTTTTTTTTCTTTTTGAAATTTAGGTGCCAGAAAATATTTCAGGGTAAACTAAGATGGAGTGGGGAGTTTAAATAGAAAAAAAATATTTAGACATAAAAGCATATCAATAGTATATTGTTTGCCAATACCAGAAAAAGTCTTTCACCTCTTTTACTAACAATGCTGCAAATCCAAGTTTTAATGAAATATAGTGCCGGTTTGGGATTGTGGTGCTTTAAAAAAAACAACTTATTAAAAAATTTGGAATATCAAATGTGTTTGGTAAAACAAAAAAGTGCTTTTATTAAAAAAAAACTACTGCCAAGATAGTAGAAAAACAGATGCAGGGTCTACCATTCTTTTAAAAAAATTGTTTTTTTTTTCAAAGCATAGTCATCAGTGCCCATTTAATGGAATTTTCAAAATGGCAAGTATACCCTCACATATTTTACAAAATTACAATCATTGCCCATACATTATTCTCTTTGACAATTATTATATCACATTAAATATCATATCATTTTCAGTCATTTAAAATATTCACCGCAATTTATATAAAAGTTTAGCAAACACTCAGACACTTTTTTTGTTAAAAACTTAAAAACACTTTACAAAAAAAAATGTTTACCAAACACTTAACAACTATTTTACAGCCGTTTATTCTCATAGCATAGCAAAAACATTTTTTTCAAAAAACACAACAATACCAAACTAGCCTATAATGCCTTATGGAGAGACGAATGCTTCCATGACTAAAAGTTGTGAACCAGTTATAAGCTTTAAAATTGTAATGAAAGTAACATACAAGACTTTAACATTTTACCACCAATCAACTGATTTACTTATTGCTTTCACGCATTGACGAGTTAGGATTTTAAAATAATAGGATTATAATATAAGCTCAAAAAAATTGATCACACTTTCATTCAAATTGTCATTGATATGTTTGGGGGACTAGGATTCTCTCCCCTTCTCTTTCCATTCCCTTCTATCTCCTCCTCATACATTCTCTTATTTTGTTTTTTTCTTGCTATAAAAAATTAATATAAGATGTTGACGTGGCTTAACTGTGACAGTTTAAATAGGAAGAGAGGGAAGGGGAGGGAAAAACAGAGGGGAGAGAATCCTACTTCATGTTTGGGTGGTCCTATTGAGTGACCAGATCGAGCTGGAGGAAGAGGGACAAGGATTCTATCTCCTCATATTTCCATCCCCTTTCATCCTCTCCTCTCACATTCTCTATTTTGTCTTTCTTTTTCTATAAACAATTAATATAAGATGTTGACATAGCTTAATCGTGACTGTTCAAATAAAAAGAGGAAGGAAGGGAAGAGAAAAAAAGAGGGAAAATAATCTTACTCTGGAGGAAGAGAAGCTAGCGAAACTAAGTTATCCTGTCACCCTCACCCTCTACTTTTTTCTGTGACGTTTAAAAGGCTCGCACACTCGGACTTGGATTGTCTGCCCTCCCATTTCGGTGCCCTCCCCGTGCCCTCCTGTTTTGTGTGATCACGGTTAAGTCACGTCAATATTTTATATTATTTTTTAAAAAAAATAATAAAACAAAAAGAAATAGTAATATAAAATGTTGACGTAACTTAACCGTGACCACAAAAACAGGAGGGCACGGGAAGGGCACCAAAATTAGAGGGCAGACAATCCAAGTCCTCGCACACTCACGTGCAATTAGGGCATTTTGACCACTTTGTCATCAACGATTGCCATGTGGATGTGGGTTCCACCCCAATCAAATACAGCTCTCCCCATTCATTAGGAGTTTCCATTGTTTAATTAATTTATTTAGTTTCTTCTCCTTTTTGTTTGGTTTTCACTTTTCAGCATAAAAATATCAAATCTAAATCGGATGAATATAAGCTTAAAAAAGAAGATCCCATCAGCCAATCCCCTTTTGTCATGTCATCAATCTTGCACAACAACATGATTGTAATCAATAAATCCAAGACCTTTCATTTTAGATTTTTTAACAAAAATTTAAGTAGTGCTTCAAGGTCAATATTTTTTTTTTCTGTATTTTTGTTGTGTGATCTGTCACATGAGAATTTTTTTGGCTTTGTTTGAAATTAATAATTGAATTGAAATAGAGAATTTACTAAATTTTATGTAAGACGTGGAGAAAATGGATTGTCAACTTTCAAAATTTTGTCAATTTGAAGGTGGTAGATGAGTTAATATTTATCCCTTCAAAATTCCTAAAACTGGGGAGGATTGAAAGTATAAATTTTCTTCATGAAAATCCATCGTTTCTGATTCAAATTAAATTGAATTAAATGAGTTATTTATTGCAATTCATTTCTTGACATTGGAACAATATTTTTGTGTTTCTGTTCACGTTATGCTAAAAAATGGTGTGTCTATATTATTTTTCTTATGACAAAACCATACAAGAAAGAGTTTAAAAAAATGACTTCTATAAGGAAAAGCCAAGAGCCCAAAAAGGGGACCAAAAGTAGGCCCAAGTTCGTTCATGTGAGTCCTAATTGATTTGGTCCAAATAGAAATGGCAATAGAAATTAGAAAGGCTGTTGCTTCCTTCCCCTCATCACTTATCACAACAGAGCTAAAAAGCAGAGTAGCTCAATTGCAAGAGTATGCTGCTAGCCTCTCTCTACAATCCTGCAACTGCAACCTCCTTCATGTTTTCATGGTCGCCATCCCGACACGTACACATACACATGGTCTATCTCTCATCCACCAACACCAAGTAGTTATAGTTGTTGTGCATCAAATTCAAGTTGTTAAGTGTTTGATGCTTCAGGGATGTTCAGTCCTTGGACGGAGTTTTTCAAGAAATGGGTTGTGTAATGGCGTGAAGAACAAGCAAGGAAGACCGAGATGGCGGCCAAGATGTCCAACAGTACCAATGGTTGTTGGAAGCAATAATGGTGAAGCTCTACTGGGTTTTTCAGGTGGAGAGGAGCAGCTTTATCTCGAAATGGTCTTTGATACTTGCGGAGCAAGGTTTGCGCTGAGCTAATCGACAAGCGAGGGACTATTTGTCCCGAGGGAAAGGGAGAGTACCCTCTTTTTATGGTATTATGCAGCTGATCATTTTTCTCAAACTTCAATTTTTAGAGTAAATGCTATTTGAACACACAAAATTGACTACATTGCTGACACGTTCATGGTATATACGTTAACATTTTAAGCATCGTCGGGCTTAACAATATTCATAGGATCATGTTCCACAGCTTGGTTGTCTAACACTACAATGAACATTTTATAGAAGCATAATCTGCCTGAAGAAAACAATGTAGCTCAAAACACATCTCATGCATTTTTATCTTTTACTTTCGACAAGAAATAAAAATGTAACTTTTCCAACTTTGTCAACCTTGATTATTATTTTGAGAGTTAATAGATTAGTTTTGCAGTTCAAAATATAATCTTGAGAAGACTTGTGACTGTACACGAAGACACATACACATTTGCATTTATGCACGTCTATGCATCTTCGCGAACAAACAAACTCGTGTATTTTGGATGGTTGATTAGTTTTTGTTCTCTATGCAGGTTACATCCACGTCCAGAAAGTGAGGTGAAGTTTCTGCATGGGGATCTTGACTCCATTGCACGTATAGAGGTACGGAGATTTCCTTCCCTCTAATTAAGCTTGATCAACAAACACCATGGAAATATGAGACACATAATAAACAAAATCAGAGGCTGATGACACTGAAATCTTCACTTGTGAAATGAAACAGGCAAAAGCATATGGCTAAGGATCTAGGAGCAACTCAAGTTGATCAAGTGTTCACAGCCTGATGTGGTGCCGGGAACGAGAAATGAACGAAGATAAGAGAGAGGGTACCCGGTCTGCCGGTGAGTAGTGCAACTCAAACGAAGGCTGCTTATGGAGCTGCATTGTTGGCATTAAGGGGTATTGTGACGTCTGAAATACCAATACGCACTGATTCCAAAAAATCACGTGCGAATCACATGCAACTTTATAAACGGAAAAATTGACGAAGTTTATCGTAATGACCTAAAAACCTGGTCAAAGCCCATAGGTTCAATATCAATTTGGAGTCTGAAAAAGCACTTTTTACGTGAAGCAGCATCCGTTGTTTGAGGTGGTGAGACTTTGAACTTGCGACCATACCCAAAAACTAAAAAAAAAAAAAAAACAAAAAAACAAAAAACAAAAGAGGGAAAAAAGAAAGAAAAAAGAAAAAGGATATTGAATTGCCTTTGTCCAAGATTTGTAGTGATCATCCCCTCCACTCACATTACCCATCAAACATTCTTAATTCAAATATAATTGATTAATCATAATCAGAGAATGCTTGCATGGCTGACAAGAACAAAATGCAGGTTTCTCTAATATTGGCATTGTCGTTTTCTTCTTCTGGTGAGTCCATTTGTTTTCTCTACAGCCACTTTTCTTTTCCATTTTTTCCTTTTTTTTTTCCAAAAGTCTCAACCTTTATTTCCATTTCTTGCTTACAGGTATTGGGTTGATCTTCATTTGATTTTCTTGGAATTTTCATTTGATTCAACATCTGAGGTGGGATTTTTGTTTAGTTATTTTTTCATATTTTTTTGCTTTTAATTTTGATTTATTGGGTACCCATATGATTATTTGTCTAATTAATTAAATGTTTTCATACAGATTGATGCTTAAAATTATAATCCAGACGAAGCAATAATGGGATTAGTGTTAAAAATTGGAGTTAACATCCGAAAATCTGTGAGCATTTCAATCAGAACATGTTACAGATCAGTTTGCAATCATCCATTTCTTGGGGGAATGCTGTTTTTCTTGTTATTTCTGCACAGAGAATTTCCTTTTGTGTTTTCTCTTTTGGTGTATGCATCCCCTGTGTTTGTCTGCTCTGTTGTTCTTCTTGGGACCCTTTTGATTTTTGGTCAGTCCAACATACCTGAAACCGAGAAGGAACAGAAGATTAGTCATGCCATTGCTTATCCTAGAACTCGGGTTTCGAGGGATGACATTATTATTATTGAGAGAGATAGGAGGTTTCCCACTGAAAGGCTTTCAGGAAAGTCTAAGGACACTGCAGAGAGTAGTGAGGTTGATGATTATGAAGGTTCAGTTGGATATGTGCCGCTTATTGATGAGTGCTTGCAGAACATTCTAAGTGGAAAGAGATTGACTGGGGATATGGGGAGAGAATTAAACAGTGAAGACTTGAAAAGTCAGCGAAATGTTGAAAATGAGAAAGCGAGGCATGAAGGCATGCTAAGGGAAGTGAGAATTGATGAGAAGCAACATTCTATGGTTCAAAAAGTAGGAGATGAGAACCGATATTCAATTGATGCTCACAAGGGTGATCATTACTCGGAGTCTAATGGTGGTGATGATAATGATGACGATGACGATGATGAGGCTTCAGATTATGGGTCAGAGAGGGCAGAGAGTTCATCACCAGATGCATCAATGGCTGACATTCTTCCGATCCTTGATGAGCTACACCCTCTTTTAGACTTAGAACCTCCACATCCTGCTAATGATGAGTCTGATTCTGTGTCTGATAGAAGTAACGATGGCAATAATGAGTCGAACGAAGATATTCAAAACAAGGATGGAGAAGTAGAAGAGGATGAGGTTGATGATAATGATGGCGATGAAGAAGAAACACATGGTGGAAAGAAAGATGAATCTGCAATCAATTGGACTGAGGATGACCAAAAGAATCTCATGGATTTGGGGAATTTGGAGCTTGAAAAGAACCAATGCTTAGAGACTATTATTGCGAGGAGAAGAGCAACAAAAAGCTTTAGTTTATCAGCCGAGAAGAATCTAATTGATTTAGATAGTTCTGAAAATCTCTTTAATGTTACACCAATATCGACAACAAGGCACAACCCGTTTGATCCTCAATATGATAGTTCGTATGATAGCATGGGGTTACCACCTATTCCTGGTTCTGCTCCATCGATTTTGTTGCCAAGAAGAAACCCGTTTCATCTTCCTTATGAGTTAAATGAAAATAAACTTGATCATGTCAAGGGAGACAGTTTTCAACAACACTTTATGACATTTCAACCCAAAGAAGTGTCATTCTGTAGGCATGAAAGCTTCAGTTTGGGACCGTCGAGCTTAGGGGATGCCAAAGAAGAGAGGCAAGAGTTTAAGTGGAGACCTTTTTTTGTACCAGAACAGTTAGCTCCAGAAGGAACAAGTTATTCCTCATTACAAAGACAGTCAAGCAATGTTAGTGATTCGAAGTTGAGTTCTAGTCATGATACTGAATCAGTGAGTTCTACCGCAGACATGGATGATAGGAAGTTCAGTGAGCAAGACTTTGCTAAAGAAGCAGAAGTAATCTCTAACATTTACCGAGCTTTTGATCTTTTTGGCCATAGAAGTCAATCCTTTGAAGATGTAGAGAGGGAAATAATGGAACAGGATGGAAAAAAGGATGTTCAACATAATGAGCTAGAGATAAAATTGGGCAAAGTGGAAAATTTGGAGCCAAGCTTGTCAAGTACAGGAGGGTTTGCTACTCCTGTGGAAATAAATGACAAGTCAAGCTTTTCATCATTGTCACAAGTGGATGAAAAGATTTCAGATGTGAGGAAAGGTGGATCAACAAGTTCCAAATCAAAAGGTGATCTCGTTGTGAAGGTTGCAGTTTCACCACAACCTCCACTTGAGGATTTAGAAGTCCACTTTATGAGCAATATGATGGACGACAATCAACATAAGGAGCCAATCTATGACTCAAGCCCTCAAACATCTGAAAAAGTCATTTCCTTTGACTCCATTTCTTCAGACATGCGAGCAGAGATATCTAAACTAATATCGAATTTAGACTCAGATGTCGATCTCTCTAAGAATTTGGACGAGAAAGAAGCTTCTTCAAATTCTTGCTATCAATATGTTTCTTCCAATGAAAATCCACCAACAGAACAGGAGAAACACCTATCATGGTTAATTAAGTCCATGGTTGAACCGCGTTTTGATGATCACAATTCACTTACTGTAAGTTACACAAGCACTATGCGTTAGAGAATGTTTGAATTATCTACATGGTTTACTCATATACCTTTTGAATTATCTGTAGCACTCTATTACTGTTTTTAAATAGGTTTAATCACTTTTCATTTACTGTAATCGACATAATTAAATTGGAAGACCTTCTTTTTGAATTATTTACAGCATGCCATTATTATTGTTAGACGCTAATTTTTTTCCTTTGACATCAAGTTATCTTGTTCTTTTTAGTGCTATCAAAGTAAAAGTTCTATTCAAAATGTCTCTGCAAACCACATAAATTTGCATGACGGCAATGTCAAGCCATGTAGATTGTTGCTTTTTTTTTTCCTTCTATTTTTCTCAATTCAATCAATGTGCATGTCCAAGTAATTTACTTCTCATGCGGAGTATGTAATGCTCTCATGGAATGTGTGATGTTGATTTATCGAAAATAAAAGATTCTAGATACATGCAAGTCTAACTGCAAGATATGTTTATGTAGTTCCACAGTTTTAGATTTATTTGAAATCTTGTGTTTCAGCTGTATTTGCTTCTGCTGCATCCACATTAGTGCAAGTATATTTGACTATTTATGTATCTGACAATTCTTATATCAACCAATTCTTCTTGTTAGGTTAAAAAATTTAGTTTGACATCTATGTGAAGCCGCTGTACTCGATTTTGGAAATTTATACTGAAAACTATACAAGATTCTAAATCATGGCTTTTTTGATATTTTAGGAGCCGGTTTCCATCTTGTCAGAATCCAAAGAGGATTCGAGCATAATTCAGGACGTGAAAGTACGGGAAGTTGGTGAAGTTCAGGACCCTGGTTTGACAAATTTCTCTTTAATAACTTCTAAATCTGCATCAAGCAATACAGAATTTGGTGTTCAAGAACCTACTACTACTTATACTGCTTCGAAGAAAGTCTCTGAAGTTAATGTTGGTAAGCCTCATAAACCATCTGATTTGAAGGATGGATTAACAGAAGTAGAAACTAATGATGTGGGTTCTACCAAGGAGACTGCATCAAGAAATTCGAGGTCTAGTGCTCAAGAAAATTTCACTACTCAATCTACTTTGAAGTCAGTCTCGAAAGGTAGTGTTAGTGAGATGCCAAAACAACCAAATTTGAATGATGCATTGAGTTCTAAAAACGAGACTGCATCAAGTTATGCAGGCATTGATGTTCAAGAAGCTGTTACTACTCAATCTACTTTGAAGTCAGTCTCTGAAGGTAATATTAGTGAGCTACCAAAACAATCAAATGCGAATGATGCAGTGGGTTCTAAAAATAAGACTACATCAAGTTATATAGGGTCTAGTGTTCAAGAAGCTGTCACTATGGATAATGCATCAAAGCGAATTTCAGAAGGTAATGTGGATGAACTGACAAAGTCACCAGATTTAAAGAATGGATCAGAAAAAGTAGAAGCTATTGCAGGGGAATCTACCAAGCAGATATCATTAAACAATCCAAGATCTAGTGTCCAAGAAACTATCACCATTGATATTGCTATGAAGCCAGTGTCAAAAGGGAATGTTGGTGCTACTACAAAACCATCAAACTCAAATAATGGATTTGCAGAAGTAGGAACAAATATAGTGGGTTTTACCAAGGAGGATGCATTAAGTAATGCAGGATCTGATGTTCATGAAACTATCATTGCTCATACGTCCTTGAAACAAGTCTTAGAAGGTAACGTTGGTGAGTTTCAAAAATTGTCAGCTTCAGAGGATGGGTCAACTAAAGTAAGAACTAATGCAGTTGGTTCAAACAAGGAGGTAGTATTAAACAATATAAGATCTAGTGTTCAACATACTATGATTACTCATATGGGTTTAAAGCAAGTCTCAGAAGGAAATGCTAGTGAGCTATCGAAATCATCAAATTCAAATGATGAACCCGGAAAAGTAGGAATTAATGCAGTGGGTTCTATCAAGGAAATTGGATCAACCAATTTAGAATCGTCTGATCACAAAACTATCACTACTTATACTGATTTGAAGCAAGTCCCAAAAGGTAATGTTGGAGAGTTACCAAAAGCATCAGATTCAAAGGATGGACCAATAAAAATAGAAACCATTGCAGCGAGTTCTTCCCATGAGTTTGCATCTAACAATGCAGAAGAACTTATCACTACTCATTTAGCTTTCAAGCAAATTTCAGAAGGTAATGTTGGTGAGCTACCAAAACTATCAACTTCAAAGGATGGATATGACAAAGTAGAGACTAATGCATTGGGTTATACCAAGGAGATTTCATCAACTAATACAAGATTTAGTGTTGCGGAAACCATCACTACTGATACTGCTTTGAAAAAAGTCTCAGATGGTAATGTTGGTGAGCTACCAAAAACATTGGATTCAAAGGATAGATCAACAAAAGTTGGAGAGAATGCAGTGAGGTCTACCAAGGTGATTGCATCACGTAATACAGATTCTGGTGTTCAAGAAACCATCACTACTGATACTTCCTTAAACCAAGCCTCAGAAGGTAAAATTGGCGAGCTGCCAAAACAATCGGATTTGAAAGATGAACTGACACAAGTAGAAAGTAATGTTGTGGGTTATGGCAAGGATATTGCATCAAGCAAAACAGAAGCTGGTATTCAAGGAACTATCATTACTCATACTTATGTGGACCAATTCTCAGAAAATGGGAGTGAGCTTCCAAAACCATCGATTTCAAAGGAAGGATCTACAAAAGTAGGAACTAATGCAGCAACTTCTACAAATGAGGTTGTATCAAACAAAGTAAGACCCGGTATTCAAGAAACTATCACCATTGATATGACTTTGAAGCAAATCTCTAAATGTAATGTTGGAGAGCTAACAAAATTGTCAAACTCAAAGGATGGATATGAAAAACTAGGAACTGGTGCAGTTAATCAAACTATCATTAATGATACAGCGTCAAAACAAGTCTCAGAAAGCAATGTTGTTGAGCTACCAAAACCATCAGATTCAAAGGTTGGATCAGCAAAAGTAGGAACAAATGCAGTGGGCTATACTCCAGAGACCGAATCAAGCAAATCAAAGTCTGGTGTTCAAGAAACTATCACTACTGAGGCTACATCGAAACAAGTTTCAGAAGGAAATGTTCATGAGCTTCTGAAACCATCAAATGCAAATGATGGATTGACAGAAGTAGAAACTAAGGCATCAGGTTCTCCGAAAGAGATTGAATCAAGCAATACAAAATCTGGTGTTCTAGATGCTATCTGGAAAACCAAATTTTGGTGAGCTGCCAAAACCATGAAATTCAAAGGATAAATAGGAAAGAATGTAGCGAGTTTGTATAAGAGATTGCATTAAGCAATGTCACTACTCGTGTTGCTTTGAAGAAAGATTTAGAAGGTAATGCTAATGAGTTGCCAAAACCTTTAAATTTAAAGGATGAATTGGAAATCGTAGGAACTAATGCAATGGGTGCTACAATGGAAGGAACTAAAATAAGTTGTCTCCAGTTTCTAAATTTTGTAAACAAATTTCACTTTGAATACATATAAATGCATCATATTTTTTGAAAAAAATTGTCTTATTGTCTCGATGGATATGATTGTATTTTGATGTAAATGACACTACAATTTCTTTACTTTCGTTCATTAAACACACTGATTAGGTTCTTTCTTGGTCTAAATCACTGGTTAAGAAATTTGAATTTGAATAAAATTAGCAGCATTAAGATGTGTTAACTTGTCCTTGATTGGTTTTATTACACAAAAATTAACACTTGCTCTGGTAAATATAAAGAATCCAACATAATAATGAATTGAAACCCTATAGTTTTTTTGACATTTAATTACATAATTACAAAGTTAAATTAATAATTATATCAAGTAACAAGCATTTGATCATCCTTAGTTTTTTTTTTTTTTTTTTAGAAAAATATACAATATTCATTAAGATAAAGAGAAGGCTTATATGTTAAAATGGTCCTTGTGTTTTAATCATTGGGTCAATTTAGTCCTTGTATTTTCAATTTAGCCAATTTAGTCCTTGTGTTTATCTCTGTTAGCAAATTAAGGACATTTTCAACTAATTTTGTTAAAAGAAATTATAAATTATTAAAAACTTATTTGTAAAATTATAATTTATTTGATTTAAAATATTTATAAATGAAATAAAATAAAAAATTTAAAGAAAAATTATTCTCTCCCAACTCTTCGATCACCTTCCTAACCCCATTTCTTTTCTATGTCACAACCTTAATTATTTTTCAGATTGGAAATTTTATTTGCTATATGTGTTATTTCTCATTAATTTGCATTTTCTGTAAAGAGAAAGGATAATTATTTCTCATATAATTTTTCTTATAATTTTTTTCATAGAGATTGAATGAAATGTCCTTAATTGGCTAACAGAGACAAACATGAGGACTAAATTAGCCAAATCGAAAACACGGGGACTAAATTGGCCATATGACTATAACACATGGACCATTTTGATATTTAAGCCTAAAGAGAATACATACAAGATGATAGACACGTAAAAGTATGTAACGAACATGAACATATGCATAGGTAAGAAAAACATGATTTAAAAATATGAAAAAAGGAACTAATACTTGTTTGTTTGCTGATAGCATGATGTTGGTTCCTTATCAAACCCGCACAAGGAACGTTCTCAATGTCTTTACCGTTAGAGAATACCATAATATCTTGGAGGTCCACATAATAGTTCTTAGTTGCAAAATCTTCGATTAGTGCTAAGCTCACCACACCTCACTACGCCATGCGTGAGAAATATGGTTGAGAGTTCTTGTTGAGCATATTTGAAGCACTTGTGGATTTCATTTATCATTGAGTTCTAACAACAATCCATGAAAACAATGTTGCTTACATCGACTAGACGATCCAAGAAGTCAACACCAAGAGTATTGCGCCATCGACGTTCTTTTTCACTCATCAGCAAAGTATTAAAAGATTGAAGTCAAGCAGATCCGACCCAAGGTAACATTGTTGATCTCTTCATGAAGTTGTTTCCAATGTCTATCTTCCAAAATATTACCAAGGTATTTGATCGCATGACCTATCTCATTTGCAACGCAGCAACGCTTGTAGTTTTTATAGGGAGTTTTGTCGAACTTAGGGGGAGCATCTTCAAACTTGACCTTACTATACTTTTTTCCTTTAGATCAAGAGCATTTTTCCCATTGGAATTTTGCTAACCTAATGAGGTTTTGATGAGGCACCCACATGAGGATGGTCATACCTTGTGTGCATTTTCAACTACTTGATGCATCCTGAAGATGTCAAGTATCAACATTGCATTAACTCACATTTTTCGCCTTAGACTACGAGTTTGTTCCACTAGGTTTATCGTAGCCAGGTTTTGGTGAAACTTTATCCTTTACATGCATCCCTACTTTAAGACTCGCGTATGCAATAACAGACGACAATTACCCCCATCTGCTAATGATGAAGACCGTATGCAATTACTTCCTAAATTCTACACATTCAAGATAGAAGTGTTGTTAGTAGTGTTTTACTTTAAGTGTGGTTATGTAAGGTAGTAGGAATTCAATAGGATTTAGAAGATTTTTTCCTTGTACAACTTGTATTACTTGTTGGGTAAGTAAAACCCATCATGATTAATATAAATAAAGACACTAAACATGAAGAATTCCACACAAAATTCCTTAAGTCCTTCTCTCTTTGTGGCACCTTGTCTCTATTATCTTTCAATAGTTAGTTTCAACAAAAAAAATTTGTGAAAAATAATCTCTACTAATTAATAAAACCCTATTTGTCAACCAAAAGAGGGTGAAAAGACAAATTATTCTTCTATCACACACAAAAAATGATGGACAATAATGTAATTTCATAGGTCCAAATTTTACTGTTTTTTATTGAAGCCTCACCTACATGTGATGTTAAAATACCTCCAATATTAATAAAAAAAAAACCAAGAACAAAAACCTCCCACCCCCCCCCCCACATTCTCTCTCTCTCTCCCTCTCTCCTTATTTTCTAAAAAAATGTGTTCATACACATAAAGTGTGTAGACAAATGTTAATACGTATTAAACATATGTTACGTGTATAACACACGAATTTACTAACCAGCCCTCAAGTACGATCTGCTCTTGGGCTTGGGCGGATTATTATTAGAGCGACTCTGAACAAATCCAAGGCCCGCATTGTTAAGAACCAGCGAAAAAGAAAATGGCGGCAGCAGTAGGAGTTCCAACCTGTCACCGGCTCCACCTCCTCCTCCACCTCCCACCACCACCACCACCACCATATTCTTCCTTCTCCCTTTTCCTCAAACCCCTTGTTACCTCCACCACCACCACCACCATTGCATTCACGCATCTCCACATCCCACGCCGTACACTTATCTCCCATTCCCTTCCTTCCTTCTCGTCTCGCCCTCTCTCCTTCTGCCTCCCTCCCACCGCTCCCCACTCTCCACCTCCCCCAAGGCCTCTTTACAAGAAGAAGCACAAACCCAACAACTCGAAATTCCAGAAGATAATAATAATGGTGAAGAAATTGAGATCGAAATAGAGAACTCGGATAATAAAGAGGATGGCCAAGTGAGTTCGGATCCTACACCTGCTCTGAAGAGAGATGGGGTGAAGCCGCCGACGCTGACGGTGAAAGAAAAGAAGGAACTTGCTTCTTATGCTCACAGCTTGGGGAAGAAGCTTAAGTCCCAGTTGGTGGGGAAGTCCGGCTTGACAGCCAGCGTCGCCGCTTCTTTTATAGAGAACCTTGAATCCAATGAGCTTCGCAAGGTAATTTCTTATTTATTTGTTACTTGTTATTTTTGGAAAATAAGATTTTGGTGGTTCAATTAGTACCCAGTTGGGGTTTAAGGGTTTATGCCAAAGTTGAGGGGATTTTGTTGTGCTAGTCTGAAATTGGTATGCTGTTATTGAAGAGAGCTTATGCTTTGCAAGTTTCACATTGTCAGATTTGCCGTAGGAATGGATTCAAGATTGTTTGGAGTCTTATCCTTTTCTTTTTTGTTATAGAAATGTTCACCTATCGAGTTTTTCAATTTTCGAAATGAGAGATTCGGAGATTGTTGGTTCTGATAGTTGTAGAATGCATATATGTTAGCTTTCTCACTGCTTTTTGAGTATCTAGTATCAAGGGATTTTGATAAGAAATATCATAATTCTATGCTCCGTAAATAGTTCGCGAGGATCGGACTGATATTTATCTTACACTTAGGGAATTCGAATTATTTGAGGTTTAGGGCTTTGTTGAGTTGAGATGATATAATTAAGCAATCATGCTTAGGTAGTAGCAGCTTCCCTTACAATCACAGTTGAATTAAACTTCATATCAGAAGTTAAAACAGAGTTTACAAATGTACAATGTTTGTAGCATACACTTTGGGGCCTTACTTGAGCTGCTGGGAGCCTCAGACTCGTATAAGAGGTAATAAATCACCATGTCCCAATTAGGGGCTATGGGGTTGGTTGAAGTATCACAAATCTAAACCAGCAGTATCCAACTTTGTTTTGAATGTTGGTTTCATGTAACTGCCACATGTTCTTATACAGAACTCCATAACAGCCCTCCAAGGGAACTGAAATTCAGAAAACTCCTTTAACATATCTCTGGCTTGCTGAGTTGAGTTGATTTGAATGTCTGTCCATGCATCCAACTTGGTTTTGAATGTCGGTTCATTTGTTGTAAGCCATTCTGTTTTGTCTCTTGATTTTACTTTTACCAATTAAAAGTAAAGAAATATAGGTGTGCTTAGCTAACACTAACACATATTGTCGTTCAATGTTCTGAACAGGTGAAAATTCACGGGACATGTCCTGGTGAGCTAGAGGATGTCGGTACACAATTGGAGGAATCAACTGGTTCAGTTGTGACGAAAGACATAATCGAGACCCACATCGATGGAATACCGTAAAAAAAGAAGAAATACCAAGAATGAATGGGCGTGACAGCTGAGGAAGAACCAGGGTCTAAGAAGGTTCTGGGGTAAGGTGTCCGGTGTCCTTGCATTTAACTTTAAAGCTATGCATGTTTTGGATACTATGGAATTTTTGTAGCAAAGTCCAAATTTGAATTGAAAAAGAACTAAGACAAAAGGAAAAGAAATTTAAAGTGGATACGTGCGGTATGATATCGAGGACAAAAACTCGAATTGTTTGACAAAATTAGGATGAAAAGTTGATGAGCTCAGTAGCACAGAGAGGTGCTTGCAATATGATGATGCTTTTGTACTTGTATTTTGCTTGTTTGGATGAAATCTGCATGGTCTTACTTCCTGTTCTCTCAAATCAGCCCTCAGGAGGGCTAAAAAGTGCCAGCCGCCGAGCATTTGGACCAATCAAATTTTATGACTAAAGGTTATTACGTAATAGATGATGTGTAGCTACAAAATTTATTTTTTGATGTAGCCCAAAGAACTACATTAGTAGCACTCTCCGAGGGCATGAAATGTCTAATTTTTCGGTTAGAATCTCAGCAGTAATGTCTCTATTAAATTCCCCAATCGAAGGATGTCAATTTTTGGGATGTAGCCCAAGGCCAACAAGTTTGTTTTCGTTCTTGACCAAGGTAAATTGTCGTAAATGCCCCTTTTAAAAAAGCTTCAAAAGAATTTTATCCCAACTTTTAGAATTCTTAGAATTTTGCCCTTTAGAGTGAAAAGACATAAATAACCCCTTGTCTTTCTCACACCCTTCCTTCGCTGCTTAGGTTATTTCTCTCTCATCAACTCCTCCTCCACTTTGCCATGGCCTCGTTCATCCACCGTTACCCACACTTATTTGAAATGATTGGATTTGAATACTTAGGGCCTGTTTGCTATCCTATTCAAAAGTTTCATCATTTTTCAAAATATTTGTTAAGAACATCTCTTCAGAACAATTTTCTTTAAAATCCTAAATCTGAGATTCAAAATTGTTTTTAAAGAAAACAATCTCATCCTACGACAACACCCTGATGAAGTGGAACTTTTAAATTCAACACAAGAAAGTGAGAGGGTCAAAGAAGAGAGAGAGCATTGGAAGAGAGAGTAAGATGATAGAGGATCGGAGGAGACAGAGAGGAGAGAGAAATAGGAGAAAGGAACGAAGGAGAGATAAAGGATAGAGATAGAAGAGACAAGATTCGGTGTGAGAGGACAAGGGAGAGAGAAATTGAGTTTAAATTTAAAAACTCTACAAACGCACTTTTGGTGTAAATGAGAAACGATGCTAATTTTTAAGTTAATCTTGAGTTTGGTTTTAAAAAAGAGTCCTACCAAATGAGTTTTCAAGACTTAAAACTTGAAAAGTATTTTTGAGTTTAAAAGTTGAATTCAAGTAGAATACCAAACAAGTTTCAAACTTAATTTTAGAAGAAATACGTTGAATGCTTCATTATTTTATTCATCCTTTAAGGTAATATATAGGCACACACTTATTTACAAGGAAGGTAATTACAAAATATAAGGAAACTAAATCCTAAAAATTACAAATCATATTCCTACCTAAAATAGGACTCCAAGAATATTTACAATTAAGACTCAAATCAACACTCCCCCTCAAGTTAGTGCATGGATATCATACATGCCAAACTTGATAACTGAGTCTTGGAAAACCTCCACATGCTTTGTTCGATCATGTTGTACTGGATTATCAGCTATTTCCCTTGCAGATTTATTGTCACAATATGACTTCGTACTCTCCTTTGGTTCAAAACCAAGACATCTCAAAATTTTACGTAACCAAAGAAGTTCACATATTTCATGTGCCATACCTCTACACTTAGCTTCCACAGACGACATTGACGCCATTTTCTACTTCTTACTACGCCACGTAATCAAATTACCCCTAACAAATGTAAGATACCCAGATGCATATAATCTGTCAGTAACATTGTCAGCACAATCTACATTTGTAAACACCTCAAACTTTAGATGCCCATATTTTCATAAAGTATTCCTTTACTGGGAACAGACTTAAGATATGCTGTTGATGCACAAAACCGGAGGGTCTTGGAACAACGTAAATCCGACCATGAATCTGCAAGAAAGTAAATAACACAAGATGTATCGTGGTTTACCCCAAGGTTTGGGTTACGTCCACACTGATATTGTATTTCTCTGAGAAGTGAGGGGAGTGAAAGAGAGAGCTTCTGAGGGTGAGAGAACTCTTCCCATGGCCTAAGAAATGGCCTTCCCTAATTGTGAGGGTGATGAGTCCTTTTATAGAATAAGGGCTCCTCACTTATTACATATTTGCCCTTTCATTTATTACATAATTACATTTAAGTCCCCCGAGTATTTGTACGAGATCTAAATATGGAGGCCCTAAGTATGGTACAAACAGTAGTCTCCCAAGTCTTCAGTCAAGAGAGTCTTTTGGCTGGAGACTTGAAATTCAGTCCATGTGTGGGCCGAAGTAACTAGATGTCGTCTAGGACTGATACTCGATATGAGGCGGTGCCCAATCTAAAATGATGCTCAACTAGAAGTAGCACATGTTGCGAGGCTGCTCGGCTTGTGGCTTATGTTGCCTTGATTAGCTTGGCTTGTGGCGTTGAAGGTGAGGGAGTCATTTTATAGAATAAGGGCTCGCTCCTTAATACATAAATGATGGGTTAGAAGTGATGCTCGCGGCGAGGCGGTTGCTCAGCTGGCGGTGATGCTCTCTAATGAAGGTGAGGGAGTTCCTTTTATAAAATAAGGGCTCGCTCCTCAATACATGAATAATGGGTGTTCTCTAATGAAATTGAGGGAGTCCCTTTTATAGAATAAAGGCTCGCTCCTCAGTACATAAATAATGGGCTAGGAGTGATGCACGTGGTGAGGCGGTTGCTCAGCTGGCGGCGATGCTCTCTAATGAAGATGAGGAGTCCCTTTTATAAAATAAGGGCTCGCTCCTTAGTACATAAGCAATGGGTTATTTCTAATGAAAGTGAGGGAGTCCCTTTTATAGAATAAGGGCTCGCTCCTCAATACATAAATAATGGGCTAAGTCTCCCAAGTATTTTTCATGAGGCCCAATATATGGTACATAATGTAGTCCCCCAAGTATTTGGTCAATAGAGGCTATTGGCTGGAGACTTCAAATTCAAATCATGTATGGGCCGAAATGGCGGTTGTTCGAAGGCGGTCTTTGTAGACTATGCACTGAAGCTTTCTATGTGAAGTTTTGCAAGTTGAAGCTTTGAAGCTAAAGCTCTGTAAATAAAGCTTTTGAAGCTAGAGCTCTGTAAATGAAGCTTTCGAAGCTAGAGCTTTGTAAATGAAGCTTTTGAAGCTATAGCTTTGTAAAACTAGAGCTCTGTAAATGAAGCTTTCGAAGCTAGAGCTTTGTAAATGAAGCTTTTGAAGCTAGAGCTCTGTAAATGAAGCTTTTGAAGCTAGAGCTTTTGTAAATGAAGCTTTTGAAGCTGATTGACATGAGTGATGCTCATGAATGTTTATGTTGATTGACATGAGTGATGCTCATGGATGTTGACATGAGTGATGCTCATGAATGTTGACATGAGTGATGCTCATGAATGTTGACATGAATGATGGTCATGAATGTTTATGTATGATTGACATGAGTGATGCTCATGAATGTTTATGTATGATTGACATGAGTAATGCTTATGTATAATTTTGAAGCACTGGACGTACTTTTGATTACCTAGTGGGTAATAATAGCGGCAGGCTGCCGAATAATTTTGGAGTACTGGGCGTACTTTTGATCACCTGGTTGGTGATAGAGGGCTTGGCTCGTTTGGGCATATGGGCCTTCGCCCTCCACATGACATTGCAGTCCATTATTTTGGGCTTGTTGTTTTTTTTTTTATTTTTTTTTTTACTATTATTATTACCCTCTGATGGGGTTTATACAAATATCTTTGAAAGATAAGAAAAATAAATTACATGTTTTCAGCATGTTGATAGGCATCTTCTTTTCGGCTTTTCCTTTTCTGCTTTCTTTTGCTTTTACTTTCTCTTTTCTGCTTTTGTTTCTTTTCCTGTAGCTTTACTGGTGGTCTCCCTTTTCTTTTTCTTTCTCTTTTGCGTTGTCCCCCATATGTTCGCCCATGATTCTCCTTGCTGGCCTCCACATGCATGCTCACCTCCCTCAAGTGCAGCTCCCCACCTTTGGTAATCTTTTTCTACTGCACCTTTCTCACTCAGTCTCAGTCTTTATCTGGCTGGACTTGAGAGTGTGCTGTTCACCGACAAGCTGGAGATTGCCGCTAACGAAGACGAGCATGCCGCCGCCTGGGCTAGAGGGTTGGCAATCGACGGTGGTGATTCAGTGTTGGCACTGGTTTTTGGATCACGTTTAGAACCCTCTGAAATCTTAAAAAGCTTCCCTTGCATGACATACTCATATTCGTCAGCCAATGTCTTGCGATTGCCCTTCCCTCATCGGATACACCTCTGAATTCACATCTAGGTACATGAACATTTCGCAAGTCTCACTCTTTGCTTTTACTCGAGTAACTTTATCGAACTTTTTGCCATTTGGGTTCAATCGTAGAATCTGAAATATGTCATCAAACAGACGATCAACCATCCTTGACGATTTGAACATCGGGTGCTGTTTTGCTACAGAACGACGGTGTTTCGAGTAGTGGGTCGACTATGAGGCTTGCTAGCTTGCTAGAGACTGGCTTATAAGTGAGACGCTGAGAGAGTTGGAATAAAGAATATGCGGAGCTTCTTGCAGCAACAGCTATGACTAATGAGAAACTTCCCATATTCTTAAAAACGATTTAACCTCCTTATCTTTTGGAACAAGACAATCACTTCCTTGAGGTGGAGACCTTCGTTTTATGAAGCAGCAACCCCTTCCGTGAATCTGGCTAGCAGAAAGTGCACAAAGAGAAAGATAGCTGAAAGAAACAGACCAACCAGTCTCCCATTTCATCTTTAACCTCAACACCATCTTCCTCTCCTCTTTCATTGAAAACCCACTTCAGGATCAGAAATTCAACTACAACCGGTTTTTGCAGAAGCAGGGAGAGAGAGAGAGAGAGAAGTGACGGTGTCGTTTTAGATCTGCATCAGTGCCACCCTCTTTGACCTTTTTCTCGCCGATTGGCTTTCCCAAAGCCGTCGGACTACCGGAGGGGCCGCTGCTTTTTGGTGGTGAAAACGCATAACCAGATGATTGAGCCAGCTGGGTCGACGCCACGACGACGTCGTTGTGGAGGCGGAGGTTGAGATGGGTTTCTTGAAGTGGAGGATTTGAGATGGGGTTTTTGAGTAGATGATTTCGGTGGCTGCTCT